CCACTCCCCCCGCTCCCTCCCTCCCTCATGCACCTCCCCGGGGACTCGGAAGGACGACAGGGACAAGCCAGGTCCCCTGGGGTGGCCAGCCGGGTCGCCGACTCTCTTTGCCTTTGCCAGAGCTTTGCCTTTGCCATAACACCGCCATTAAATGTCCTTCCCCTGGTCCAGCAGCCCCTCGGGGTGCGCTGTTGGACAAGGGTGCCCCATCCTGGGCTCTGGGCATCCCTACTGGGGTGCCACACACCAGTCCCTGGGAGATGCTGTGTCCAGGTTGCTCCTGCCTCCAGGTTTTTCGGTCGCTCTGGCCCCAGCACCCCTACTGCAGCCAAAAAGCATGTGATGGGGATGTGATACAGGAAACAGGCAGCTGCCTGCATCCTGCCCGCTTGCACATCGGCTGAGCCCGGTGGGGACCAGGGGGTCCGGAGGGGCTGCAGAGCCTCCCAGTGCGGGTTCTCCTGCCGCAAAGAGCCCTTTGCCGAGGCGGGATGGTGGCGGGTGTGCTGCAAGGAGGGGAGCGGAGCACAGAGCGACCCTGCGTCCCTGTCCTCGTCCCCCTGTCCCCATCCCGCCCCGGGGCTTGGAGAGAGGCGTGTGTGAGCCCTGCTGCGGGAGGGAGTGCTAACGGGGCCGGGAGGGCAGTCGGCAACTAATTACTGGTGAAAGCATGCGGGGAAGGGGGAAGCCATGCTGGCAGCTGCACTCGATGAGCGGGAATCAGAGCAAGCGGGGAGCTCCCCGACACCAACCCCGAGCACAAACCCATGCAAGGCACAACATCTCCCTGGGGCAAACCCCTTCCGCAGCCGCAGCATCCCGACACGGAGCCGCAGCCCAGCCCGGCGGGTGCCGCTCAAGCCGAGGGCACGGGGGACCCTTGCTTGCCGGAGCACGTGAGCCGGGGATGGAACGGTAATTTGCTGTATGCTGTTGCCTTGTTGGTACCCGGGGACTCCCGGCAGTAAAGCCGAAGCTCAGCAATTGGAAAGGACCCAATGGTCTGAGCCGGTTTTATTGCAATTAAACGCCAGGACGGACCTGGCCTGTCCGATCAAACCATCCGTGGGGCTGCAATGTGAAAGAGCTGCTGTGGTTTGGCTCCTTTCATAAGCACACGAGGCCAAGGATGAGTGGGGAGGTTTGGGGAGGGGGAGTCAGGCTGGGGTTCGGGTTTTTGGCCACGGGGAAGGTCATTTGCTCTCCCTTATCTCAGCACGGAGTTGGTCGAAGGTCTGTCAGGAGGTGTAGCGCCAAATGCCACCGCGACGCACCACTGCTATCGCCACATGAAAACCACTCATGGCAAAGACAAATGAACTAGAAACAGCCGAGGAAGCCCAGGGGAGCCGGGCAGCAACGTCTCCCACTGCACCGGGGCAGCTCTGGGGCTGCCGCGCTGCTGCATCGGCCGCCCGCGGGACCCCACCT